GATCTAATTAAATGATCTAGTTTAGATATACACTAAAACTTATCATAAGTAGTTATTATCAAAAATGCTTCTTAAGAAATCTTAATTACCAATATTTTTAAGGCTAAACCATTTTTTCAACTTTATTAATTAAATTTTGCCTTTTTTATTAAGAATTTAATTGAGAAGGGTACCTAGATTTAAAAAACTATTTTTAGAAGGAGACACATCTCCAAAGATTTCTGTTTTCCATAACTAAAACATATCTATCTCTTATTTAGAGTTAACTAAAATTAACTTTCCTACTTGCCATCAGTACATTATTCCATCTTTTAAATACAATTCTAACCTATGTTATTCACTGTATATCATTCTAAATCTTCATTGCACCTTTTATGGTTTAATAAATATATTGGCTGATCTTCACAACTTTAAACTTCCTAACAATCTCTTATTTCAATAGATTATCTACCCTTAGAATGAAGCACTTGAACAATCATCTTTATTGTATAAAAAGCAACCTTAAAATTAGGCTAGCTTTATGATTTCTTTTGTAGATAATAGATATAAAAAGCTATAATAGAAATTAGGGTACGTTGAAATTCATCATCAAAAGTAAAAGCCATAACTTGAGCTTAAGTTTACTTGTCTTAAAATTTTCTCAAATTAAACATAATTAAGTTAATCAATAGTTTGATTAATAAATATAACAATAATGTTAAGAATTAAATAAGATTCTCTAAATCTAAATATATATTGTTGATAATTATTTATAATCCTTATTATTTAAAAATAAATATTTATTGTTATTAAGTTAAAATGATTTCAAAATAATATCACTTTCTTATCACTAGCTCTTAAACTGAAACTATTCTAATATCATTAACTCTAGTTGAAATCTCTGATCTAACACAGGCTATATAAAGAGATTAAAAAATCATAAAAATCACAATAATATAGCAGTCAAAGATTAAAAATAGGCCAAATTATATTCCAATTAAAAAGGAGTGAAAATTTTTAGTTGTTGTTCCTCTCCCTGCTTCCCTACAGAATTCAACTATAATAAAAATAAAAATTATAAAAACTGCCACATTTGAAATTGTATACAATACTAGCATAAAAAGATTGTTTGAATTATTATTTTCTTCTTCCCTACTATTTCCTTCTTGTCTATTATTTTCTACTTCCCTACTATTTCCTTCCTCCCTACCATTTCCTTCACCCCTATCATCATGTCTTTCTAATATGCGATCTCTGTCATTACTATGACTGTTAGCGTATAAAGAAGATTGTTAAAATATTCCCAATGCAAATTATAACATAAAACTAATTATACAACCAAAAACACCTCCAAATCCTAACCATAATTGTCCTCCAACTGCAATTTGATTTTCTTGTAATCTATTCTCTGAATTGAGACCCCTAAAGTTAACTGAGCACTTAGTAAAATAATCCTGCCGATAGATCCTATTGTGATATCAACTAAAATTGGAAGCGAAAAACCGAAATCTAAGATTATTGAGGTAAACGAAATAGCCAAGTCAAGGATATCAATAGGTATATAGCCCATAGGTAAAATAAAACTTTATTTATTCTTATGAAAAATTAATACATTTATTTTGCTTAAATAAGTTAAGAGGATCATTTTAAAGACAAAGAAATGTACAATTAAGATGATTAGATCTTTTCATTTGAAAGGATTCATAAGTTTATCACATATTCACATTATATTTCTTCTGAAATAAAACTAAAGACAGAATTCAATTCTAAATTGCATTTAAGAGTTGATAATAAATATTACTATCTACAAAATAGAATGATCTAGATGTAATTTAGCTAATAGAATTATAAATAATTATTTAATTTTATAAATAAATTCATTTTAAACAATTCATAAGAAAGTTTGTCTTTTTTTATTGAATATAAAAATAATTTAGAATAAAATTCTTTTTAGACAAATGCTGGGTATGGACAAAATACAACCATCAAGTAACTGAATTAAATATAAATAAAATGTCTTTTTATTCCTAAATAATCCTTTAAAATAAATATGTATAATTATTAATTATGTTTTAATGTTCAATTAATAAAATTTTCATAAATCTTAGATTTCTGTCCTGCTTAATTCCAATTTACTAGGTATCTTCCATCATTATTTAATGCTCTTTCATTAGAATTGGATTCAAATTGTATCAATGTAATTATATTTTGATTAGTCATTATTTTATAATTAAATTAATTAAAACATAAATTATAAACCCAATCTGTATGTTTATCTAATGAGTAAAGATAAGTTAATTCATTCTTATTAAAATCAACTTACCAAATTTTAATTGAATTATCATATCCATCAGAAACAAGTTTATTTTCAAATTAATTTAAAATTAAACAGTTTATCCATTTAGTATGTTTTTAATAAGATTAAGAACTCTTCCATTCTTTTTCATATATTTATTTCCAACATCTAATTGACAATTCAGCTGATATTACTCTTTTAACTAAATTATAGAAAATTGATATTTAAAGTGTCCTGTACGAGTCACAATTTATATAAATTTTTCTTAATTGAATTATCAATAATTTATATATGATGAGAAAAATTCCAATTTTAAAAGTATATATCACATTATGAATATGTTTCTAAGTTTTTAAGATTAGATAATTACAAATTAATTTTAGAAAAATATGAATAATTAAGTACTTTTATTCTTAAACATTTATAACTGAATTATACCATTATTTTTTTGTATATTTTAATTATAGTATTATTTATTCAAAAATAGCTATTAATTATCCTACATCAAATCCTGTATCATTTTTATACCATTTCTTAACAATAAAGGACTTCTATCTTATACTGATTACTATTCTTTAATTAGATCGCTTTCAGTGTTAAGTTAAGGAATAGATGAGAACATTAATGATTTCATAGAACTAAGTAGAAATTAATTTAAATCTATATCTTCTGTCTATTATTCAGCATCAATTCCCTTATATTTGTAAATTCTCTAATTCTTTATGAACTCTATTTATATGCTCTAATATATCATAAAATTAATTTTAAACTTAATCTAACTTTCAAAATTCTATGTATTTTAACAAGAGATTCAATTCACAATTAGTATTTTATTATACACTAAAATTTATATTATAATATATTATTTATTTACTAAAGTTCTGAAAAGTTATTGAAATTAATTGATAACATAGTTTATTTTCACATAATTTAGTAGCGGATGAAAGATAATAATATAATCGGATGAAGTTTAATTTATACAGATTACATCTTATTAAAAGTAAATGGTTTAATAGAAATTATTCATTTTTATTGAGGGATTAGAAAAATTTTATCTTATTTGTAAAATGATTTAAATATTTTCATACTAATAATGTGGCAAAGTTTTAGTATTGATGGCCGTTAGAAGCATAGTTTTGAGTAGTTTTTATAAATAAGAAGTTCTTATCATTATTTAACAAATTTCTTTTTTCATTACAAACTATTTCATATGTATGAAGGGAGAAGATTTGACAAGATCTAGAATTGAAATCAAATATAAGCCCTCTTCATAAGTAAGTTCTCATTAATTAGCCAATTTATCTAATAATCCTGTTGAGGAAAGTTAAGGAAAAATATAGGCATTGAGAAAAAATACCTATTATTGATAATGCTCTATGCTCTTTAGATTTAATATGATGGTTTTATATAATTTGAAAGCTTCTTCGTATTTTTATAATTATTGTATATATTTTAACTATATATACATTATTACTAGGGACCCTATTGAGTTTAGTTATTATTTAAACTAGCCTTTGTTTTTGAATTCTATATAATTTTTGAATTCAATTGGATTGATTTTTTGAAAAATTTGAAAGCTTCCTAACAATTCTTGAGTTCAACTAAAATGAAAAATCCATTAATTTGTAATAATCTTATAAAATAAAGATTAAAATAATCAATACAGTTATTGTTATAAGTTGAATCATTTAATGGATTAAATTAAATAACTTTATCAAAACATTCAATTGCTTCTTAAAAAACTTTTCAAATGAATTACTAAATAATTATAATAAAACTATAAAGAGGTCTCTAATATTTTTAAAAGCTAAAACGCATCTTTGTTGTTGAAGGCTGTATCATTCTTTAAATTTAATTATTTAGACTTATCATAGTATTAAATAGATAATTCAAATCTTTTAATATTTTTTAGAGGCAATCCTATTTAGAAATCTACACATTATCAATACCTTTATCATAAAATCAAATGGCTACTTAAAATCTTACTAAATAAATTAATAAAATAATATTAATAAAATATGAACAGTTTATAAATAAATTTAATATATGTTACGAATCCAAAAACTAAGGAACCAATCTAAGCTTAGATCTATCCAATTTTGGCATCGTAATCTCTTCTTTGATGGATATATTGTCTATAATAAAAGGATACGACTAAAAATGTTTAAATGATAATTTTCATCTATTAACTCTAAGGCTACTTTTTAATTGATCAATTCATCTTTGTAAGGAATCTTACATTACTTTTCGTTCTTAAATACAATTCAAATTGTTTCTTATTACTTTAATATAACTTAAGAATGTTAAAAATTCATGAAGTGCAATAAATATTCATTTATGATTTTCTAACAGCAAAATAGCTTTTCTGATTTGACATTATTTTATTGAGGCTTCTTTTCCATTTCTTGTGAGCTCTTCTCAGGCTGCAAGATGGATGAAGAGAATTGGGGCAAAATTTTCTTATAACATCTGCTTCCTTAGACTCAGCATTATGACGTGCCGCAATCAAAGTCCATCCTGCTAATTCATCAGCATTCTTAACTAAAAATGCGAGATGACTTTAAGCCTCATATTTCCCTTTCAAAGCAGATTTGATTAGAAGTTTTCTCAGTTTTTCAGCATTATTGACATCAATACGTTCCAAGTATTGATCGTAATATCTTTGTGCTTTGATAGCATATTTTTCACCTCCTTGACGCACTTTATTTTCGTCGTAATCTAAATAAGAAGGTGATGCTAAACTTGAATGAGAAATCATAAAATAAATAAAAGAAAAACAAAAAACCTTAGAAATATTAAATATCGATACCCCTTAAATAATTTCTACACATAAGATCATATTAAAAGGAGCTGAATTGAGAAACAACTTCTTCTTACAAAACCTCTGCCAATGCACATCGATCCAAAAGGATTGAATGATGACTTGCCATGTTGTTGCATTATTTATTTATTTTTTGATAAACATCTAGCTAATCACTCTGTTTAAAAATAATTTTGATAATGTCTATTAATTGGGTTTAAATTTTGTTATTTTGAGAAAAATTATAAAAATTAATCAATATATATGAAATAGTAATGGATTTCTTATTAAAAACATAGAGTAGAATTATAATCATAATATATACATAAGCAATTAATCAATCCTTATAAATGCAATATAGAGATGTAATAGGATCATCAATAACTATGATATTTTATTAAATAAATGAAATAATCAATCAATTAAATTAATGGATGAGTATGAATTTTAAACAACTATAAGCAATTAAAAATAAAATTGGAAGAATTCAAGGACTATTTAATTTATTCAATAATTATAAGTAAAAATTTGACCGAAATTATAAACTCTTTAATAATATTATGAGATTAGAATAATGATATCACATTATTAAAAGATTAAATTCAATAAAACAGCAACGAATGAAATTTAATTAAATTAAAATAAGACAATTTTAATTAAATTCAAAAATGATATAGAATTTGAATAATAAAAAGAAATTTGAAATTGGGATAAATTTTTCATAGCTTATCTTTATTACAATCTTAAAGTTATTGTAAGCTTATTTAAAATTTAAAGACGGCATTAGCTTTTAAAAATTAATAATGGCATTTGCTTAAAAAAATAGTGATTTAAAGACTGCTTCATTGTATTAGGATGAATGATAATATAAAATAATTATTTGAGAGGTTTGCTCTAGCAGATGGGTATTAATTTTTAGAATAGTGGTGGATAACATACAATTTGTTAATATAATTATTATTTAACTCATCATTAATAAGATAATAAAATACGATCAAATAAAAAGCAAAATTAATCATTTGTAAATTTTTAGACTTAAGTTTTAATAATGGTGCTTTAAATAGAAATCAAAATTATTTAAATCCATCCTTATTTAAGGAACATGTTGAAGGAAATAGAAGCAAAGTGAAATTTTAGAATGGTTAAACTGAGGATGAATATTTTTATATATTAAGGTTGGTTTAAAATCATTAACAAAAAGATATAATTACATTATTAATTTTCCTCAAAATAAATTAGATGGAATGAAGAAGATAATTTTTTTACATAAAATATTTCAATTTAATCTCTTTATGCTTAGATCAAAGTTATCCATTCAAAAAATTTTGAAACCAGTTAATTTATGATTGATAAAATACCATTATTTTAATTCCAATTAATTTCCTTTTGATTAGATACTTTTCAATATTGAATAAATACATATTTGCTACATCTCTAAGATGAAAATAGTTTTGTTATTTAATGCAATCCATCTCAATTGACTATTATTATCTTGTTACTCTAAAATATTATTTTTTATTATTCTTATTCTTATATTTTATTATTTGAATATGTATTATTCATTTTTGGCAAAGGATATCCCTTTCCTTCTATATAATCTAATAATTTTTACTCATATACAAATGCTTTTTCCTCCTTACCATTAAATTATTAATTTTGAATATCTACCTCTAAACTAAGTATATCAAAATACTTCCAAGCTAAAAAAAATCCTTCCAAATGGATGATTTAATAATTATTAATTATGAAGTTTGCTCTTTAGAATTATCAATTGAAAAAAAAAATATTCACATCAGATGGAACAACATATTTACTGAAAGAATTTTGCTCATCTTATTCTTCAAATTAGAATTAGTTGTATCATCAATATTTGTTAATTTTTTTCTATATTCAGCCTCAATTATCTAAATGATTTTTTTAAATCCAATTGTTTTAAATGTCGTTTCATTAAACTCTAAGCATTCATTACATAAAATTCTCTCATTGTTTAATAATTTAGGATCAAGAACTACAGTAACTATTGCCAAATTGTGTTATTGA